ATCTCATGTGCCTAGTTACGACTCTACTTACTAAAGCAATGTTAATTTTAGTGCACATCATTGCATACATAAGACCACCAATATTAGCAGCATATGGTACATTTTCCATATGGGTTCATTCCTTTTGAGGGCAATTGCTTATTTAATAGCTTAAAAGTGACTACTCAAAGGAGTATTTCCAGGTTTAGCATCCTGCATGTTAAGTTTTCTAAGCACTTTCTTCATACTCTTCTCTCGACAGTATCAAACATCATTATCTTTGTAATTTTCATGCCAATAATTAATTTAACACCACCCAAATCCCACGTCGCAAACACCTTAGAAAATGTCTTTATCGCCTTGCCAAGTTAATGTTAGCTGCCACCTACTATCGACATATAGCAATAAAATGATACATAAAATACCAAAGATCTTCATTAGCATTAGTGGTCTTCATAATGCCTCAAAATACCATTGCTTTCCGCATAACTATCCAACCTCTTGTATCACTATCTCAGTGGTTTGTTTAAAACTATATTTCTAAAGTTTGCATACAATTCTCTCAATCCATTGTACAATTTGTTATGATTACACCTTGCAAATTTATTCCTCCAACTCACCATTCGAGAAGATTGTCTTTATATCAAATCGTTCCAAGAGTAAGTCTTTGTTCATCATTAGTGCAAACACCATGCTAATTAGGGGTGTAAAACTGGGTTTACGATTCGAAAATGGGTCCGACCCGAAACTGACCCGCCCTTGATTGCTCCAACCCAAACCTGACCCGATTATACAAACAGTTTAGAAATCTGAACTCGGACTCGACCTACCCCAAATATGGGTCAACCAACCTGACACACAAACCCAAGCAAGCGCAGAGCATGGCTATAGTGGGATGCAGTCATGATGGCTAGAGTTTGGACTTGACCACGCGAGCAGGAGCGGGACACGGGTGGGAGCGGACGCAGGGCAGTCGCACGGGCTGAAGTCTAGATGCAGACTTGGTGTTGTCATGCAGGCGGGAGCAGGGCGGTCACGCAGTGCAATCACGTGGTCATTTTCGAGTTAGCGGGTTGACCCGGACATGACCCGATTTTTCAAATTGGTTGGGAAGTAGAACGCAAACCTGACCCATTTGTTAAACGGGTCGACCTGAAACTAAATTTTCTGTGTCAGGTTAGGGTCAGGTCAAAAGTTGACACACCTAATTCTAATTGTGATTAATTTCATCAACAACAACATCAAGCCTTTATCCCATCACGTGGGATCAACTAAATGAATCTTTTTTCTCCATTATGTCCTATTAAGAGTCAAAATTCTCATTTAAATCTAATAAAGAAATGTCATTTCTGATATTTTGTAACCTAGTCTCTTAGGTCTACCTCTACCGTTCTTAACATAAGTCAAATCTAATACATCTAATCTCCTAACCGGGTCATCAGAAATGACCCGTATATGGTGACTCTTTCTAAGGTGTTAAGGTGACTCTTTCTAATTGTATATGTCAATGGAGCTACTCCAACCTTTCACGTATATGCTCATTTCATATCTTGTCTCTAAGAATAAAGCTACTCATCCACCTGAGCATCCTAATCTTTGCAACACTTAACTTAATATAAAGCTTCTCTTTTAATGACCAACATTCTGCGCCATAAAGCATTATAGGTCTCACAATCTTCTAGAATTTTCCCTTAAGTTGGAGAGGTATTTTTCTATCACACAACAAGCCCGATGCATTCCTCCATTTCAAGCATCCAACTGAAATTCTACAAATAATATGCCCATCTATTTCACCATCACTCTGAACAATAGATCCAAGATATCTAAAACATGTACTCTTATTAATGACTAGATCACCCAAAGTCACAATCACCCCACTAGATCTATTATTACTAAAATATTGTGTAGTCAATGCCGTCTTTTTTGTTGAAAGCATTTAAAAAACAACCCCATCTTTTTATGCTTATTGTCATCATGCTTTTATTAATCAGTAAATTCATTTATTTTAGAAGGCTCTTCTTCTTTCCCTTTAACAGCTAGACAGCTAACATGTTTAATCCGTTAATATTAAATCCATCTCATCCTTCATGGCCAACTCCCACTTGATAGATTCTTCAATTTTCACGCCTTCATTCTAACTATCTGGTTCACCTCTACATCAGTTAACAAAATATAGTGTAGCACAAGAGAATATCTTTGAGGTGGTCTAATAGTTCTACTATATTTTCTAACTGGAGCAGCAAAAGCTCTATGATATTTTCCAAGTGCTATATAACATTGTTATACATTAGTTATATTTTCAACCTCAACTAAAGGAATTTCTTACAATAGGATCACATTTAGCTTTCGAACTTCATAGTTATTATAGTATGCTTTCAACTTGTCCTCATAAAAGATATTTTTTTCATTGAAGATCAAATCCTTTCCTTTAATTACCTTTCAATTTTGGTCATCCCATAAATGATAGCCAAATTCGGAATCACCATAGCTAATAAAGAAACACCTCCTATATTTAACATCAAGTTCACTTCTAGCAGCAGAAACAATATAAACATAAGGCAACCAAACACTTTCAAGAAAGAACGGAATACCTCATTGCCACTCCACAAACCTACTCTAGTATTCTAAATTCCAATATATTTAATGGACCTCTGTTGACCAACTACATTGTAATGCCACTAGTCTCGAACCAAAATAATTTTAGCAACCAAGCAAGCAATCTCATACTCCTAGATCACTTATACAATGTTTTGTTCGTCCTCTCAGCCACATCACATTGTTGAGGTTTTCCTAGAGTTTTCTTCATCATCTTTATGCCATTATCAAACATTACCAGATACAATCATCATTTATGTATTCTCCTTAATTCTCTAACTACAAGCACTCAACTTTCAAATTTGTTTCATTCTAAAAAAATAGCTTTCTAGATTTTAATGGTATCGAACATATCAAATTCATTCTTACAAAGGTAACTTTTTATGTCATCGATAAAGACCGCATTACAATTGAAATCATCAAAAAAATAAACCATAGATGAACCCTCAAATCTTTGTATTCAACAACATAAACTTTGCATCTTTAGGATCTTTCTCCCTACTTTAATAAAGCTCATATTTTCTACATCACAAAGATACAACCTTCACATAACTTTTCTCCAACTAACTTTACATCTAGTAGTCTCCCTTTTGAATGAAGCAACTCCATCCCCTTATCACTCATCTGCCCAAGCCTACAGTACCATAAATCGTAGTTTGCAATGATATAAGAAATTGAAAGTGTATCTCTGCAACTAGGAGTAATGTAAAGCATTCCATTTTTTCCTCAACTAACCACTACGGCTACCTTAGTTTCCAACCACTGTCATCAACAGCCAGATTATTACCTTAATCATCAAATTGCCCAACTGCAATCAAATTGCATGCAACTTAGGCACATGCTCATATTTTGGATCTTCCAAATAGGCCCGTTAATCTTTCTCAGCTTGGCATTGCCAACACTAATAATGTCCAAAGGTTTTCCATCAAGATAAGCATTTTCATGTTCCCAATAACATAGTTCTCTATAATAGAAGTATGAAAAGCAGTGCATGCATCTTACGCCACAGAATCAATAGGATCATCAACAGCCGAAATTAAAGCATCTTGTATCTTTCTGGTAACCACGTTTGTCGCATCAATATTCTTATCATGATCTCCTACAGTGATCTATAATTCTACATAAAGTGACAATTTATAATTCCAACACTCCATTAATTATTGGAAATGCTTCCATCATTCTTTAACTTCCTCTATTATAATTACCCTTGCTTGAATACCTCTCAAAACTCCTGCCCCTCCCCTCAACATTATAAGCAAAATTCACTACTGAGACTTTTTTAAAATATCTTCGTCAAAACTCCTTTGCAATAATAGTATATCATACATCATTAAACTTCAGTTTTGAATTCCACATAAAATTGCTCACATCAGCTCTCAGTCCCAGCTATTCAATAATGAAGCCAATAAAGTTATAGAACATCATCATCAAATTTAATCTCCACCAAACCAAATGTTTTAAGATAGTGTCGAATTCATTTAAATGTTCCACCAGTGGACCACCTTTAGCCACAGTTAGAATAAATAATTTTTTATCAGATATAAATTGGTACATGTTGAGGGATTCTCGTGCATATCCAACAAAACCTTCATCAGATGCAATGGCCTTCACCGTCGCCACATTATGTGTGATGTTCTCTAACTTCATCAGATGAATCACTTCTTGCACCTATCTATCAAAGAGATTCCACTCATCATCCTTCATGGTTTAAAGTCTATTTCATTAAACTTGGTGATTCCCAATGTTGATCTTTTTTTGCCAGTCATATCTCCAAATTAGAACCAAATATGATACTGGTTGATGAGAATTAGATGATGTCTAATTCAAATCTCTGATAGCAAATAAAAAATAGAAAAAAAAATTCATAAAAACATACCAAGAATTTTATACAAGATCAACAAATTGATAGCTATGTCATGTTATCACCATTGTAAATTTCACTATGATTATGTTAGTCAAGTTTTACAGATCAATTCACAATCCAAATCTTTGAAGTATAAAACCAGATAATGATGAATGTTTATAATGAAAGTCAAAGATAATAAAAAAATTACAGTGAAATACTCAAAATATCATTAATTAAACAAGTCAAAAATACTTGATTTCACGTACTAAATAAAAATAAGATGTTTCCTCATAGGACGTTAATTAGGCTCTAAGCTTAACAAATGGTATCAATAGTACTACAAAATAGGGTTTTTGCTCTCGATAAAGAACAAAGGCAGTATCCACCATCAAAGCAATAGATGATAGAAACATTGAGCTTACCAAAAAGAAACTAAATCAGAATGCCAAAACGATAATTCAGATGGTTTTATTATTAAAAGATAAAGATGCATTTTTGTAAGAAAAAAATCAAAGAATATTAGAAATTTAAAAGAAACAGAAAAATGGAAAATTCAATAAGGGAGAAAAAAAAAACATACCTAGCTTTGTCCCAACAAGAACAATGGGAACACCAGGGGCATAGTGCCTTAGCTCAGGAATCCACTGCATTTAGAATACATACCCCGCAAGAAGACATAAGTAAAATTTAAAAAAAGAAAAAGGAAATTCTGAATTGAATCAGTTGATTTTGAACCTTCTTTGAAACATTTTCATAGCTGGCCTTGCTAATGAGAGAAAAGGCCAGTATAAAAACATCAGCTCCACGATAGCTCAAAGGTCTTAATCTATTATAATCTTCCTGGCCTGTTCCAGAAACGTAAAATCAAAGGAATTTTGTTATTTTAATTTCATGATTCTAAGTTTCAATGCAATCATAGGCATGCAACTCAATGGACTTTGAAAGGGGAGTAAGGAAAGCATTTCAAAGCACCTGCAGTATCCCATAAACCTAGGTTGACAGTGCTGCCATCAACAACAACATTTGCACTGAAATTGTCAAACACTGTAGGCACATAATCCTGTTTTCAAAGAGGCATAAGGTGGTAAGTAATCTACAAAGAGTTGCTTAAATGCAAATATGCAGTTAGTTCCAAACATTGATGAATCGTTCAATATAATTTTGAAAAAGCCAAAGGCAATATGTAGCTCTGGAAAATAGATGCGAGGAACTAAAAGAAATTCAATGGATGCTTTTAAAGAAACAAATGTGCGACAGGTCAGAATTCAAAACATATAAAGCCTCTAAATTCCATCAATTTTACTCTTAGACAAACACGAGATTATTGGAATCTTCAAATAAATGCAATTTATCTTACAACACCATAAAATTGGAAAGCATAAAAAGTGAAATTTTACGTGTTTAAACATAAAATGAAAAATTATTTTCAGATTTTTACTGATAGGTGTTTTTTTCTCCCATAAGGGATCCTAGATTAAAATTTCTTCCAATAGTTCTGTCCAGATAAAATGGAAAAGTTATGTAAAACCATTTCTAAATAAATACTGATTTATTCACCCAAATTTTCAACAGGAGGTCAACACATAATTAAAAGGGATAGCCACAAGAACATAGTTTATTGGGCTTGGCCAATTTTTTTATCAGGTATGTGTTGAATTGGTGTTGAAATTTTGGGTGAGAAAATCATAACAAATCTCTCATAGCCCTCATCAAAAGGCCAATATCTAAATACATTAGGATTTTATAGCAATATATGGAACTTCAGTAAATTAGTCGAACTTCTAGAAGAATATGCAAGAACAGTAAAAATAACACTCATAATATGTATGGACTGAAATCATAATATTATGAAACAAAAGATGACAAGATATGAGATTTACCATTGACCAGAAAAATTTCAACAACAACTAAAAAGTAAAAACTACAAAAAAAAAAGTACATTACTCACACCCACCAGCCCGGCCTAAGCACCTTAAAGTAATTTGAGGGAAATGAAGCTTCATAAATCTGAAATTTAAATCAATGAAAGCTAATTTTCCCCTAAAGATCTATATCAAATACATGAATAGCTCCTGCATAATTTTCCAGCAGAACAACATGACATGAAAAACACACTAAAATTACGACTCAAGTTCATCCATAAACCATTTACGGACAGCTTCTCCCCAATTAACCCAGCACCAACCAAAGAAAACCCTAAACAATAAAACAACGCCAACCAAACACATTAAAGTGAACAAAAAGTTTTCCCAAGCTCACCGTAGGGAATGTGTTGCTCGTGTAAGATATAAGCATGCAGGTCTTTCCTACGGCACCGTCTCCAACCGTGACGCACTTTATAAATCTCGACGCACTCATCTCCTCCTCCCCAGGTCGCCCTCCAAAGCTGTAAGATCAAACCCGCAAGCTTGATCAGCAACGTAAATGGCTTTCTTCAGTCATAAAAGACCCCGAAACCCACATCTTCCCTTCCCGGATCCAACCCTCGCCGGAAAGTCACAAAATCATAAACCTCGAGAAAGATCGAGTGATCCTGCAATAGATCTGCCTCTGTTCCTCTCCTTTCTCCTTTTCTATGATCTGAAATTTCTGAGAGAAGATTGAATACAGGACGAAGAAGGGGTAATCGGAAAGGAGAGAGGTCAAGGGTGCAGTTGAAGCCGTCCCGGACCACCTTGATGATATAATTGGGCAATTTTATATTGGTTTTTATTCAATTAAGGAATTCGATAATTTTAGCTGCTCAGCTGAATTGTTTGTACCTGACAACTAACAATTTCTGCTTAAAATCTTTAATTAGGAACTTTTATTAGTTCAGGGCGCCTTATGTTGTTTTACATCCGGACGTTAATAAAATATCATCACGTGCTCTTATCTTTTATCGTGCGGCTCAAAGATCCGGCCCGGATCGGAACATGGTATTGCTATGTATTAGCTGATTTGTGCAGACCAGGATATTGCTAGGTATTGCTCGGTATTGTCAGGTATTGCTTGTCAATAACGAGAAATACCACTCTGTCAAGATCAATACCTAGCAATACCGAGTAATACCCCGGTTTTGCTAGGTATTGCTCAGTATTGGTAGGTATTGCTCGGTATTGATCTTGGAAGAGCCATATTTCTCGTTATTGACAAGCAATACCTAGCAATATCGAGCAATACCTAGCAATACACAAACATAGCAATACGGTTTCCGGTCCGGGTCGGGTCGTCGGGCCTCGCGGTAAAAAATAAGAGCACGCAGCAATATTTTATTGGCATCCGGATGTAGAACTACGTCAGGTATCCTGACCTAATAAAAGTTCCCGATGACGACTCTTGGAGAGAAATTGTGCATATGATTTTGTTAGTTCATAGATCAATAAACAAATTCATCTCATTCAAAATTAATTTTGGCACAATATACAAATATAAAAATATCAAAATATTAAAATAAAACATGTATCTCGATAAAAAGATGAATCGAACGGCACTAAGCCATTTAAAACATAGAACTTCATTTAAATCTTATATATTTATAATTGAATTAATATGTATATCTAAATATTTTTGTCACTTATTATGATGGAATATTTCAGAACAAATTCATTCAAGTAGCTAAACAAATTAAAAGCTTACCAAAGATTGATAAGAGCCCGCCATACAGTGGCGGAGTCTATATTATTTTATTAAATTTTTTACTCAATTTTTTTCATGCAGGATTGGGATCGGCATAGGCAGTTTTAAAAATTTTTATTTAAAAAAACTATTAAATATAAAATGAAGTAGACTTACAATTTATATCTTCTGTTTTTCATATTTTGAAATAACTGAATAATAACATCATTGTTAATACAATCTAAATTTTCTTTTTCAATATAAGCGATTAAAGTTTCGTTCATCCATTGATCTCCAATTCGATTGCATAGCCGATTTTTTATAATTGTCATTGCAGAAAATGTTCTTTCAACTCATGCTCTTGCAACGTGTAGTACTAATGTCAACTTCAATAATCTAAAAACAAGAGGATATAATTTTTCATTCCTACTTTGAACCATTTTTTCAGCAAGACTTCTGATATCTTTTAATAATGAAAATTGTACTTCAAACTGCATATCTATAATGTAAGTTTACAGCTGATTATCAAGAATCATCAAATTATATGGAGTGAAATCACTTGGATATAAATTTGTCATTTTAATTAACTTTTCTTTGTTGAATGCACTGAACGAAGTAGCTAGGTGTAGAATTATTTTCAATACCAATCACTAAATGCCTAGGTTGACCTCAAATAACTTCAATCTTTAATTAATAATGTCAAAAATTAGTTGAATCATAAAATAAAAAAATTTATAATATGCATATCATTCATGATTCATCTGATCAAATTAATGTTATTAACTTAGACAAATTCTTTCAAAATCAAAAGACTATCGTAACTAAGGAATCAACTAGGACTTCAAATAGATAACATCAAATGAAAGGATACACAACAAAATAAAATGAAATCTTAAGAGATTTTGCGAGCTACTTACCTTCAAGATTGTAGCTGCTTTCAATCCGAAAACTGAAGATGGGAGAGTCGGAGAGACCGAGAGAAAATGCGAGTGAATGCGATGATTGCTGGCTACCCGCTGTCTGCCGGACAACCTTTTGGAGAAATTGTTGTGTCACGCACTCACACAGTCGCATTAGAGTCAGAGGCGAACCACGATCTTCCTTCTCCCCTTCGTCGTGCTGAACTCGAACAAAATAGCCAAAATATTAGGGCAAAAAAAGGTTGAACCGCTCAAATACACCGAATGACTGCAGTATATAATTTTTTTTTTTTTGGCGGAGGGGGAACGTGCCCCCGCGGGACCCCGTGTGGCTCTGTCATTGCTGCCATATACCCTAAACTTGTCGAGAGACCATATTGGACTCGCTACGATCATGACAAATTTTCCAAAGAGTTTCCTAGATGTACTCACCAAAATCAACTACGACTCGCCCCAACCTGTGAGATACTCACCTAGTCTAGAAGGTCATTTGCCTTTGGATGGAATATCACTTGCCCAACTTGTGGCGGCTACTCTCCCAATCACCAACAGAGACTCACTTACACCTATGTCAAGCTAGAGACTTCCTAGCAAGTTGATATCCCTTTTTTTAAACTCATAATCTCTCCTCTTAAGTTAGCAACTCCTAATCACAAACGCCTAAGAGTTATCCATGTGTACTCACTGAAGTTCTCGCTTTTCTTTTCACATGTACCTATTTAAATTTTTGTCCATATGTATATAACCTGTGCTTCCATGCATTTGCTATTTATTCAATTTTAGGAGTCCAAGTATAACAACTATATCTCCAAAGCTTAATAAACATAGCATCAAAAGGATCATTTTGGACACACATATATATTATCATAGACAAATCTAGATCCAACAGGCTAAAAGGTGCAATGAGCATGAACCAATGCCAAAAATAAAAAAACCATGTACAAGAAGTAACAAAACAATGAAAATAGGAGAGAGATGCAATAAAAAGAATCAAGGTATAGTTAGTCGTCACCAATAGACAACTAATCTAACGAATTTGATAAGTACTCAGGGAACTCATCCTTGAAATTAGAAAAATACTCAAAGAATTTGCAATTCATCATTTGATGATGTGTGAATACTAGATATATACTAAAGGAATGTAGTACTCGACAAGCTCCTGTCAATTACTCAGGGAATTCAACACTCAACAAAAATCAAAATAGAGAATTCGGTGAACTCATGCCTCTCTTAAAAAGTTTTTTCTTTGTTAAAATATCAATATAGTTATAAAAAAATTATTGAGTATAGTAGGGCTATCAATATATGACTCGACTTGAACTTGACCTAAAAATTTCATATTTGGTCAACCATTTTAGTAAACATGTTTGTTCAATTTTATTTTTTTACCTGTTTCACTTTTGGGTCGGTTCGGGCCAACTGCAAACCCAAATTCAACTCATTTTGACATGCAATAATGAGCAATTGTTGAACCCTCGTGCCTGACTCTAGAAACAAAGCAAAGAACCAGCAACCAATGGCTTGCTATAGTCCTGACTCTTCCTTCACAGTTCAAGCCATCATGCAAGCCTCTCGGTACTCTTCCACGCGCAATCAAGCTGCAGCTCGAGCACCCCATTCATGTTGCACTCTCCAACCAACCTCTCCACCATTGCAATTCACACTTCACACCTAAACTTGTGGCTAGGATGGTGAGAAAGTGTGAGAGGAGAACTGGAGTTCGGCCAGTAGTGTGAAAAGGAAATCAGGAATGTGAGAGACGGTTAAGGTCGTTTACCGTTTTGATTTTTGCATGAGGATATAGAGTATATGAGATTGAAATAACTGATCCCTATTGCAAATCACTCAACTCTCCTCCAGTCCTCCCTATATCTCAACCCCATCCCAAACTCTAGCTTTCTTTTCTTTAAATTCTAAATGGGTTTGCGAGTCGGATCAGGTTCAGATTGCATGAGTTAGAAGCAAGTCCATTTTGAGTCAAATCTGGACCCAACCTGCAAACCCATTTTGAGATGCACCCCCTAGAATATATCATCAACGCCTAAAGTTGTCAATAAAATATTTCTATTCGTATAGTCACATACTCATAATAATTTCATAATATTTCTATATAATACAAGATAAAGATTATTCAAAAAAAATTTGATGCATATTTTAAGTACATATGTATTGACTTTTAAATATCGTTTATTTACATTTGATGCATGTTGGTACAATTTGACTTGTAATAGGTGCATATCAATGTTAAATAATTTTAAATGTTTAATAAGATGTTAAAAATTAAAGAAAGTCCATAAAAAATCATGTCATGTGGGATAAGTTGGTAGATTATGATAAACTTTATCGGTATGAGCATCAATATGAAAATAAAAGGGATTCCTAACTCTTGATACTAGAAAGTCGGGATGGTTCGAACAATATCAAGGGCTATTGATAACAATAATGCTAGGTGACTATAATGACCTCAATCACCTCATCTATAATGATGATTCTACATGAAGATCTGAAACTAAATCTAGTAAGTCTGATGCGATAATTTAACATTTCTAAGAATTGTATGAGTTTAAGTAAATTTTTTATTGGTTGTTTTGTGGCGCCAATCTCATTGTTTGACAATGTAATTTTTTCTTGGGAGTGTTGTGGCACTATAATATGGGTGCTGCAGCGCTGCCCTCTCTATTAGTCATCATAGTGGCAATAGTGGCGATGAGCTTTATAATTTGATGTCTAAAATTTTTTCTTGCATTACTAGGTTTATAAATATCCAAATTAATTCTCTCATTTTGAGGTTGTCATCTAGAGAGAGAATGAGAGAATCCTAGAGATAGAAAGTCAAATTTAGAGTTCTTGGAGCAGATTTCATCCAATGAGTTAGTTGGAAAAGATGTCCAGCCCAAGGTAGGTTACCGTTACATTACTCCAGTTTCAATTTGGGAAATTCGTGTGGTATTTTGTGTATTTTATTTAGTTTTGTTTTATACAAACTCAATTTTACAACTTTTCATCGTACAACTTTTGATATGTTATAATCTATAATGTAGCATTGTTAATAAAAAAAATCTTGATTTTCTTTGGATAATTTTGATTATGTGACATTTTATATATTTAAATAATTATATTTATATTGACAGAAATTGTTTTAGAATAATAAGTGCTTTAAAATGATGTTTCAAA